AAGGGAAGGCGGGTGTCATCGATTAGAAACAGGCAGGGGGCACCACTCTCCCCCCCACTGCCTTACCTTCTCCTCCTTGGAGAAGGGAGCTGGGGACGGGACAGGCTGTGTAGGGTGCCTGCCATCAGGGGTGTGGAGCACCCAAAGTAGCCCGCGATGCACCCACACACCTGACATGTGGGATACTTCATGTCCCGCGCTCCGCAGAGGGGACCACAGGAGGGGCTGCCGCACCTCCCAGATTTGCTCTGCCGTATTCAAGTCACCCCCATGAGTTAAATTCAGCAGAATAAACAATCCCTTCTAGAATCTCAAGACACAGAGCTGAAGCCATAGGCGTCGACCCTGTCAACGCACCAGGTGGGACCGTGGACACCCACTCTTTGCAGCAAATCACTGTTTGGAGTCTCGTCCTATCACCCAAATTTGTCATGCACTCTCGGGCAGCAAAGTCAAGGCAGCAGGAATGTTCAGGGAAGCTATGAAAGGTGGCAAAATGCTGGTGCCCTTCTGTCATTATGACAATAGAAATAGGGATTTCATCACCTCTTTCTCTAGCCAGAGGACTCAGGGGTCACCAGATGACTCCAATCTTCCATGGAGTTCAGGTGCCACTTTCCTCAGCGTCTCTCCCGTCTCCGGCCCTTCTTCCTTTTGGTCACAGAGTCCCGTTGCTTCTACCTCTTGCCACCTCTGGGGTCCAGCAGCTCCGCTCCACCTGCCGCATTCCAGGGGCATCTGGCCAGGAGAACTGCAACAGCCCCCTCTTCAGGGCCTGCCCCGCACTGCAGCTTTTTTTTTTTTTTGGTAGGTATAGTTGATCAATTCACTTTACTTTTTTTTTAAGATTTATTCGAGAGAGAGAGAGAGAGAGAGAGAGAGAGAGAGCACGGGGGCGAGGGGGCGGGGCAGAAGGAGAGGGAGAGAGAGACAGAATCTCAAGTGGACTCCATGCTGAGTGCAGAGCCTAACATGGGGCTTGAACTCAGGACTCTGAGATCATGACCTGAGCGAAAACCAAGAGCCCATCGCTTAACCCACTGAGCCAGGCGCCCCTAAGTCACTCTACTTCTTAAACTCTTTCATGACTTCCTTGTTCTTAGGATCGATTCCAAATCTTTAATGTGACTTACACACGAGTCCTTCTAAAATCTGGCCTTTGCTCCTTTCTCCTGTCTCCTCTTCTGGGGTACCTTCCACATTCCACATTCCTGCCAGCGTGCATCACCCTGATCTCACACACCCACCCCTCTTCTCCATCCCCCTCCCCCCATCAAGTCTCAGCACACATCACATCTCCGGGGGGGAGCTTCCTTCACCCAAGACCAGTCCGGGTCCCCTTTTCAATTTTATTCCCCCAGCGCCCTGCTCTGCCCTACCTCAGTTACCTGTTTGTTGCATGCCTGCCTTCACTGCAGGAATGTGAGGGTCTGGGGCTGGGGTCATGTGGATCTTGTTGACCTTGTTTCCAGCTGCGGCTCTGGGCCAAACACAGAGCCTGGCACATTAAGGCAGCAGCTGAGAGTCCTCATTGAGAGCTCGGTGGGAGAGGCAGGCGAATGCAGGTTCAAATTCACTAATCAACTATGGGACTTGGTACAAGGGGCTTAGCTTCTCACTGTTGCTCCATAGATATTTAATGAATGACTGAAATAATGAATTAGTGACCCAAAATGGCACCTGACATTTTATTTATTTATTTATAAAGATTTTACTTTTTTTTTTTAAGATTTTATTTATTTGAGAGAGAGAATGAGAGAGAGAGAGCACATGAGAGGGGGGAGGGTCAGAGGGCGAAGCAGACTCCCTGCTGAGCAGGGAGCCCAATACGGGACTCGATCCAGGGACTCCAGGATCATGACCTGAGCCGAAGGCAGTCGCTTAACCAACTGAGCCACCCAGGCGCCCAAGATTTTACTTATTTATTCGAGAGACAGAGAGACAGAGCATGAGAGGGGGAGGAATGGAGGGAGAAGGAAAAGCAGGCAGGACTCGATCCCAGGACCCAGGGCACATGACCTGAGCCGAAGGCAGACACTTAGCCGACTGAGCCACCCAGGCACCCCAGACATGGTTAATTTTAAAACCACATGAAAGAAACTTCCAACTTTCTTAAGTAAATAAAAATGAAAGGAAAAACCTAAATTTTTAGGGTACATCACAAATTATGTAGAAGTTTATTTGAATTGACTACCTCCTTGGTAGGTGGCCTGTGCATCACAAATATAGGATTCGAGTCCGATGCCCATCGGACATTTGCAGCTCTAAGGTCTTAACAATGAAATATTTTAAAAAGCAGATAGTTTAAAATAAGCATTTTACCAAAAAGGGGGGAAAAAAGGATACTGACAAAAGTTTAACATTGCTATTTTAATTATCTTATCTCTGTCGGGAATATTTTGGGTTACATAAGTTGCCTCTAAGTAAAGAGGAACAGGTTTAATGTACGGTTTTGGAAGAAGTTTTGATAAAGCCTTTTGAGTGTACTTCCCAGGACGGAAAAAAAGTAAATGTTTCTAAGGGCTGACTAACAATTCCTTTTGTAAGTCAGGTAATTTCTAATCATTCTCAATACAATTGCAGAAGGACCTAATTGATTTTGTCAGTTTTTAGCACAGAACTTAGAAGGAATTCAAAGAATTAAGTGGCATTATTATAAGACCGCTGCCATCCCATCTACTTATTCATGGTTTCTCAGCACTTCTACCTCTAAAAATGACAAATAGGCAAAAGAGGTGATATTGAACTTTCTTATTCTAGCAATGACTATTATTTGTCCATCTATTTGTAAACTAGCTTTTTAAAAGCCTGCTTTCCCATTATAAGTTGGAATTTAAATGCAATTTTTATTTCATTATTATTTTGGTGAATAACAATTTAATAGCACTGATGATTTATCAACATTTGTTTGGACCAACTGTGAATTAATAATAGGTGGGACATAAACTTAGTCTAGGAGAAATTATTAGTAACTCCATGTAGGAGAAATTTCTTTTAATACTCCTGATACCTGGAAAAAGGCCTTAAAATTTATGCATACGCATACATGCACACCTATATGTTACAGAGGTGCACAATGAGGTGATCAATAAAAGACTTTCAAGTAACTAAACCCATTACAGCAGAATAAAATACTGTGGGGGGCGGGGACTAAATGGAAAAACAAGAGCTCGAGGAAAAAAGAAACAACAAAAATTCTAGCTATTAAAGACAGCTTGCTCGTGTCCATTTTTAATGGAGAACTGTGGTTATAAAACTCTTGTGGCCGCAGCGGGGCGCCTGGGTGGCTCAGACGGTTAGGCGACTGCCTTCCGCTCAGGTCATGATCCCAGGGTCCTGGGATTGAGCCCCGCATCGCATTGGGCTCCCTGCTCAGCAGGGAACCTGCTTCTCCCTTTCCTTCTGTCCAGCCCCCCACTCACACTCTCTCTCTCAAATAAATAAATAAAATCTTAAAAAAACACAAACTCCTGTGGCTTTAGATTCCACTGCATACATATAAACAAGTGATTTTTAAATGTCAACAGTTAACAACACACCATTGGTTTTCATAATTTCTGGGAAGTACACCAAAACGCTTTTAACGACTTGTGAAATGGCCATTACACAGTTCCTCTTTTCTCTGTCACAACAGGTAACCTGCTTTACCCCAAGACTCAAAGAGTTGGGAAAACTGAAATATTCTCACATCCTTTGCAACTATTTGACAAATTTCTGTGTCACCTTAAAATGTATGCATGCACGTGTAGTTTTACAAGATCACTTTGCAGCTACGTGAATGAAACATTTTATGGCCACTGTTCTAAGGGGCTTGCACTGAGGAGGGGTTTAGCTTAGATCAATTGATCTGATGGCTTTCAGAAGTTCTCAGGGGTTGGAGCTGTATGTTCTGATCATTTCCTCGGGTATTCTTGACCCTAAATGGCCACCAAGGCCAATGGAATTCGGGTCCAGGATGTTGGGGGTCTTCCCACTTTTTCGTCTTGTGTGGGATGGTATGACCCCAGGGTCTCTCTGGGATGCTGCAGGGAGCCAGGCTATCCCCCCATCACCCACTCTTCCCCTCCTGAGCACTGCTTGGGAGCACTCCCTAACCTCAACTTTTATCTCTGTCACTGTCCCTCCCAGGTGGGGCTTGGCTTAGGAGATAACAAACAGTCGGATGCTTCTGACCCACAAAGCACTCCAGCTTCTTGCCAGGAAGCCCTACTGCCTGCCATTCCATGACCAAGGTTGAAGGGAGATAAGGGGCTCCTCCATGTCCTTGCAGCCCCACTTTTAAATGGAAAGCACAGAACTGTTGAGTGGTGCTGGTACCGTGTACATTCTGATCTCAGTTCCACCATTTACAAACTGTCATCAGAGAGGCCAGCTAGTAAACCGCTCTGTGCCTCAGTTTCCCTACCTATTAAGTGATGATAACAATAGAACTATCTCCTGAGATTATGAGGGCTACATGCAACACTGAGCTGGCATACAAGAATGTAATAAATGAAGCTATTATTATTATTAATGCAAAATTTAGAATTTTAGAAGTGAACTCAAGAAAAGACGAGGTGAGAACCACTAGACAGGATGCTTCCCTCAATGGAGTGCTACCCTAAAACCTCCTGTCCCGTGTCCCTGGATTCTGCCTTTCAGCCAAACCTGGTCCCAACTGGCAGCAGCAGCCTACATACTCTGCCTCAAAGGAGGCCGGCTGCAAACCCCCTCTGCCGAGGGCAGCTCCTCACTCCTGGATGGCTGCCCCCCAGATGCACAGCCACCAAGCAGGAGACCAACCCCTCCAGCCCCCCCACCCCCCAGCTTTGGGCTTGCCCCCAGAGACAGGGAGTGCACACGGGAATCCTAGTGTCGTCACAGATAGCTGCCAGGATTCTGTGCAAATCTTCCACGCACAGCACAGACCTCCTGCCCAGAACGTCCCTCTCCCCTTGTGCGTGTAGTGATGACAGGGGCACGGTGGGCTGAAGAGGCCCAGGGCAAGGAAGGAAACTTACCTGAAGAGTGATGGGACAAAGGAAGACCGGTCTGGCTTAGCATCAACTGCATCTGGGCTGCCTGCGTCCCCAGCTGCCTGCTCTGCACCACAGCCTTGATCGTCTGCCATCTGGAAGGAGAAAAACCAACGAGACCATTGGTATTTAGTGGCATCACTAGCCTCAGGATATTTTTAAGCAGCACTCACTAGTGATACAGTTTTTAATTAAGCCTGCAGGGGAGCAGTCTTCCATGTTTAGGCTCCAGGGCTACTGCACCAACAAGTCATTCAAATGCTTGAGCACCAACTTTATTTCCGGCAGTTTTCTAGAGATGGACGAGACAGCAGCAAAGGAAACAAAATCCATGCTCTCAGGGGAGCTTTGCATCCGGCATCCATGGTTTTGTTAAAGGTTCCCTGTGTCTGAGAAGCTGTGGGAGGTTGGTCAAGGTTTATAGTGACAAGAAACTCCCCCTACATTCCTGACAGGTTATAAGGTGCTCACCCTTTTCCTGGCATTACTCAAACCCAGTTCAAACACAACAGCAACCTGGGGTATAAAGCTGTCTGTATCAGATTCTTTTATTTACCAAGATAGATTTCCATCAAATTATTTCCCTACTCAAGAATCTTCAAGAGATCCCTATGATCTAAAAAAAAGTTCAAATCTAAACCCATCTCCTTGGATTTTAAGACCCTTTGTTATCTAGTAACAGAGTCTGCAAACTATGGCCCAACACCTGTTTTTGCAAATAAAGTTTTATTGGAATGCAGAGTTACCCATCCGTTTACATATTGTCTATGGCTGCTTTCCTGCCACAACCAGAGTTGAGCAATTGTGACATAGACCATGTGGCCTGAAAAGCCTAGAATATTCACTACCTGGCCCTTTCCAAAAATGTAGGATCTCCTACTAATCTACTACTCCCTCTACTTTAAAGAAGAAAAAATAACAGTAAGAATAGAAACTGACTGGGGCACCTGGTGGCTCAGTCGGTTGAGCGTCTGCCTTCGGCTATGGTCATGATCTGGGGGTCCTGGGATAGAGCTCCGCATGGGGCTCCCTACTTGGTGGTGAGTCTCCTTCTCCCTCTGCCCCTCCCCGCTGCTTGTTCTCTCTCAAATAAATAAATAAATAAAATCTTTAAAAAAAGAATAGAAACTGAATTATTATTTACATGCTAATTGTTTTGTAAGCATTACCTTATTTAATGCTCTCAATAATGCTGTTAGACCACCCCTATGATCACTGCTTTTTGAGATGAGGTAAGTGAGGCTAGAAAAAGTTATATAGCTTGTTCCAGGCTACATAACTAGTAAGTAGTAGGACTTGGATCTGAAGCCAGCAGTATGCACCCCAGAGCACCTCCCGCCCTTTACCATCACACCATGTAGCCTCTCAGTGTCCTTAAGCATATTATGATCATTTCAGGTTCTGTCAGGGTTCATAGTTCTCTCTTTCTGGAAGTCACCACCCACACATTTGCTGGACATGACATCTCTGCCCAGCTTGCTGAGAATCAGCCTTCAGAATTCAGCTTAAATGGCACCTCCACAGGGAAGTCCTCTTTCATTACACCTATCTCATCAGCTGCCCCACCCCCATTCTCTTTGCCTTTTATTTTCACTCTGCTTATTGTTTAGCTCAAACACAACAGTTCCAAGTTCATCATGGCAGAAGCACCCAACACACAAAAGGTGCTTACTGAGTAAATATTAATTGAATGGAAAGCTGGAAGAAACCAATGGCCCAACGGATAAGAATCAGCTAAAAGTGATGCAGCTGGTTGGAAGCAGAGCCTGTACTAAAGCTGTTTTTCCTAAATCAAGTCCTGTTTCCTTCCCAATGAATGGCTTGGCTTTCAGTAACAACGGAAAACCCCTCCAGAGTCCAATTTCTGCTGCTCCCAGTCTCCGATCGATCACAGACTGGGCCAGTGGGCAGGCGCAGGTCCTCATTCCTATTAGGCTCACCCAGGGATGTTTTCACTCAGTCGGAAAACAACAAGGCATCCACTCGACAGAACACTTTGTGCTCCAGAGCACAAGTAAGGACTTTTGGAGGTGGGGAGGAGAAGAAATCCAGCTTGAGGGGAGGCGTCCAAGATGGCAAAGTGCTGACCTGGAGGCCTTGAATTCTGAGTGGTATTATCACGTCACCCTGCAGCTTCCCTTAGGGGTGAGCTGGACAGTGAAGAGAGAACCGAGAGGGAGGGAGGGAGGGTCCCCCACCAGCTCTCTACAAGGACTGTGAGAAGCCAGGTGGTCATCTTGTTTCTCAACATCCAACAAGGGTGGTGTCCGGTTGGTGGCAGTTAGATTTTTCAGATTAGAGTGCAAAATGTGTCTTGAAAACAGAGATAACCCTATCCCCAGATCAGAGAAGCATAAACCCAGGCACGCATAAATACTCAGTAGTTTTTATTTCATCTCCTTTATATAGATTTAGTTACTTTTCCATGGAGATTGTTGTTAGCAAAGCACAGAAATATTTTCAAAATTAGCAAGGTAAAGTCAAACAAAAAATCCATCAGAAGAAGATGCTCCCTCCAACATGTGGTGTTCAAGCCTCGGGCCTTTTGCTAATGCTAAGTCTTCAAGGCTGAGTCTGGGACATACAGTGATAAAAGAAGGTGACCAGTTTTTTTTAAAAAAGGACAACCCTAAGCAAAACAGCTCCTGAGAAAGCCAGACATTGGTTTTGATGCTGGGGGGAAGTGCTGAGAAGAGTTTTGGCAACTCCTCTTCTTCCATTCAGTGAATATTTACTGGCGGTCTGACACATCAGGCTGGGTGCTAAGGAGCCAGGGACACAGCTGGGAGCACGCTGACCTGGTGCTGCCTTGATGGGGGACAGGCTTTGAGGAAAGGATGGCACAAATGTTGAGCTGCCACTGTGGTGAGCACCATGCGGACCCACAATCTGTGGCCACGCCAGGGGACCTGACTGAGCCTCGGAGGAATTAGGGAAGGCTCTCAGGGGAGGAGATATCTGACCTGAGGTCTGAGAAGGGGAAGCCAAGAGGGTGGGGATGGGGCTCTGCAGGCAGAGGGGAGCTACACACATGCTCCATCAGAGCAGGGGTGCAGCTGAAACTCCTTGTGCCTCCCAGCCACGTGGAGGGGACTTTGGACTTGGTTACCGAGACCTAAAATTCAGGCTTATTTCTATGGTTTAGTGGTGGGAGGCTTTCCAGAGCTTTCCTTCCAAACACTAGGCCACAGGGGTCTTCTGTGTCCCCACTTCCTAGACAGTGGGGGAGCAAACATTCAGTGACTTTCTGACTTCTAGGAGGCTGGGCTTGATTTCTGGGTAAAATCAAGTTCACCCAGAACAAGGGTCCTGGCCCAGCGGGGTGCCTAATCTTGGCCACATCATTTCAGTCAAGCCAAGACTTGGTGTTGACCCCGTATTTCCACTCATCCTCAGATCCCATCAAGAAAATCCAGGCCGATCTCACCTCTGCTGTGCCTGGCAAGGGCAGGCCTACTGTTGTTCTCTGGTGTTTGTCCCCTTTGTAGGGCTTAAGGGCCGTCAGTCACACAAGGGCTACTGCTCATCCAATGGCACATTTGTCTTCAGTTAAACGTGTCTATCTTCTCTTTAAATGAATCAGTATATGATGCACAGAAAGCATTAGCATTGCCAGGAGCTCTAGGTAAGCATTCTACGTTAGCCATTGTCATTCTTATTGTCACTAGTAACCACGAGGACCCTATTTGCAGACTGAGAGTGTATCTTAATCATCCTTTTTTTGTTCTAGTCATAGAAAAGTGCCCAGGACACAGTGGGCACTCTCTCTCTCTCTCTCTCTCTCTCTCTATATATATATATATTTTTTTTTTTAAGAGAGGGAAGGGGGGATTGGCAGAGGGAGGAGAGTCTTAAGCAGGCTCCATGCCCAGCACTGAGGTTCAAGCAGGGGCTCCATCCTGAGATCATGATCCGAGCCAAAATCAAGAGTTGGATGCTTAACAGACTGAGCCACTCAGGTGCCCCAATAAATATTTCTTTATAAACATTTTAACTAAAATGTACTTAAAATGTTTAAATCATTCAGTGCCCTAAATAAATTGTTGATAAAGGTCAGAAAACACAACCAAGTTGACAGCCCAGTCATGGGAAGAGCAGATCAGGGGTTAAACTGGCTCCTCCATCTATTAGCCATGGGGCCTTGAACAAAGTGCTCAATCTCTTTGAGCCTCAGCTTCCTCATCTGTGAAATGGGAAGATAACGATGCCTAAGTCACAGGCTGGCCATGAGGATGAATGGAAAAATGTGCGTAAAGTGCTAAGCACAGGGTAGCACGTTCTAGATGTTCAATAAATATTCCTCATTATCACCACTGTAGGCAGAACGCAAAGACTAAAAAACATTCAGCTGTCAACCTTCATCCATATTTTAAAATCACATCCATATCTTAAGCAGCTTTTGTGGAGAATGAAAAAAATTCCTCTAGTGATTATTTCTAAACACATTTTAATAGGCGACTGGTACACACTTCTGGTAGGAAATCACTTCCCAGCTATATCCTGAACTGTTTTTTTTCCCCCCATGGGAGGGAGGATGGGCTCATTGCAGCTGCTTCCTCTGAAAAGTGACATAACACAATCTGCACCCCACTCTTGCCCCAATGAAGACAATCTCCCTAAAGGCTCAAAGAGAAGCAGCCCTCCAGCAGCCCTGGATAGAGGACCTCCACCTTTCACCTTCGGCACTTGGAGAAAGGGCTCTCCTGGCACTCGAGTGCCCCCCCGCCCCCCCCCCCCCCAGGGGCTCACAGCACTGCTAGGAAACTTCGCTTTCTTCAGAGAGTTTAAGTAATCTGCCTAGGGCTACACAACTAACAGGAATCAGAGGTGAATTATGAACCCAGGTGAGGGCTGCCTATGGAGGCTGAAGGTCAGGAGTCCCTGAAGGAGGAAACAGCCTGTAAGGAAGCAAAGTACAGGGCCATGGAGTCCACCAGAGCAGAGGCCTGGGAATGACCCACACAGAATAACCCACAAGTAATTTTACTGCCCCATAAATGACAAACTTGAATACAACGATGAAAGGTTGCAAGGTCGCCTGTGGTCCTGCCTTTTTTCACTTCCTCCAGGGATCTCAAGAGCCCCAGCCAGGATG